TTTGAACTCAGGTGACCACCAGAACGGTCTACCAGTACGACAAACATATTGCCATTCATGTATTTCTTTGTTGATGATATCCCAAGAAACTTCCTCTGCCTCGCTGTCGAGATCAGAATCAATCTCGCTATCCCAATTTTGACCGAGAGTTGCAAGAGAGCTATTGCTCATGGTCGACAAAGTTCGACGTTGTGGTTTTGGTCGTTGGGGTCGCTTCGAATCTGCCATATATAGTACCTCACTATTCTCGGAGCTATTGTCTTGGGGGGGTTCTGCCTCAAGAGGATCTGCGAAGGATACGGACTTTCTAAAGTTTCTTGTGAGAGATGCTCGGCGGGCTCGTCGGAAGAAGTTAGAAGCAAAGGATGAGCTGGAGGGTGCGGCGGCCTTGCTGGAAAACTCATGCCGGGAGTAAGGAGAATCATTTTGCCAGCTCATTTTAATGTTATTATAAGAATACAAGAAGGGGCGTGAAAAGATAGGTGTGTGTAGGTTATGATATTTCTAGGTATTGGATCCGATGATACGGATTATGAATTTGAGAAAACGGATTTTCGGGTAGGGAATCATACCGTTCGGCAACCCCGAGAAATAACGCGTCAACATCTATAAGAAATGGAAAGAGCTGCGGATGTATAGCGTTGGCACGAATGCACCTTCTTTATCCCAGACTGGTAAGTTTGTATTTCGAGCTGGCAGGCTAAACTATAGCCCCAACTACACCACTTCCGTTTATGATAGTTGCCGTGTCTCTAGCACCACCTACCTACATGTTTCATCAACATTCACATGCGACTGACAAAAGTTGCTCCTTCACATCAAAGCATTCATCTCGCATGAAGCTCACTGCGATATCACGTGTGAAATTTACCCCACTTACCATGCACACACTTGTTAATCTTCCATGCTTGTTTCCATGATCAATCTTGTTTGCACATGCAACATATTACAACCGAAGAAGCTTAAAGTGACACTATTCGTCACCGACCTCCCACCATGGGTATTTGTGCATTGTGTCTTGCCATTCCTGTAGAGCCGATTCTCAATAGAGGCTTTGAGGAATTTTCACATGTTCATCATCTTTCAGTGAAAGGCCTCGAGATATCCGCAACAAACTGTCACATATGTGCCCTATTCCATAGTGCTATTGCTTCCACTCCATCTCGTAACGAAGGGCAGAAGACTTATTTGAAGATCGACCGAAAGCAAGGGGCTTCTGCCCCTCTTAGAAATCCTATTTCCTACCAAGTGGGAAGGGATGGGCAGTCTTATTTGTTTGATGTAGAAACTACGGGTACGAGGAATTCTTTTTAATATCAGTCGATCTCGTTCTCTATTAGGGGTTCCTCGCGCACAAATCTCACATCTCTCAGACGACTTGAATTCCAGCATTTTGTTCCCCAGAAATCAGAACATTACCTCTATCATATCATCATGGATTAAAACCTGCATTAATGAGCATGTAAACTGCAATATACATTACGAGACAGGATTTCGGCCTCGTCGGCTCATTGATGTTGGAAGATATGGCACACCACCTCGACTAGTGGAGACGCAGCAAAGCGATGATCGTTATACAAAGTACCTTGCGTTGACACATTGTTGGGGAAAGGAAATGCCAGAGGCTGCAACAACAAAAACCAAAACACTTGAGCGGCGCTTGCTCTCCATCCCTTTCAAGACGCTACCTCGAACGTTTCGCGATGCGATCACTATTACTAGACGTCTCGGACTACAATATCTATGGATTGATTCTTTGTGTATTGTTCAAAACTCTCTGCAGGATTGGCAACAAGAATCAGCTAAGATGGGGAAAATCTATTATTCCCATGCATATTGCACAATTGCAGCAGCGGCAGCAACCAACTGTGAAGGGGGCCTCTTTGCATTACATAGCGAGCTACCATTGCTTCCTCAAGCTCCTAATCAACCTGGAATTCTTTTCAAGACTCCTTATCCCGGATGGGACAATCTTTATAGCAAAAGTGCACTGATCCAAAGAAGCTGGACCCTACAGGAGCGTGAACTTTCACCCAGAATTTTACACTTCACTAAACACACCTTGCTTTTTGAGTGCCGAGAGGCTCGAATATCCGATCATAACCATGGAATGAATAGCAATAAATGGGCTTTGAAATCTAGTCTTTCACGATATTTCTTGAACTCAAGTGTGAGGTGCCTCGACAAGATCCACGAGGGTAGCCCGCACCACGATATGGTGACTGAAAAGTATTATGAACTGTGGCGAAAGATGGTGCAGGATTATAACAACCGTAAACTCACGCATCGTTCCGACAAGTTCCCGGCGCTTTCTGGTCTCGCTCTCGAATTCGCGTATCTTCTGAATGATGAATATGTAGCCGGGTTATGGAAAAAGGACATTGTCAGAGGCTTGTGTTGGAAATGGTTGTCAAATCGTGCGAGGCAACAAAGTACGCATAATTATGGACCTTCATGGTCTTGGGCTAAGATGAATGTCCCGATAACATATGGCCTCCTAAGAGAAGACCGGGTCTTCGAATCGAGGGCTAACAGAGGACAATTTGTTCATGTACCAGTAGATTCACGAATTGCTGATCCGGAAATTTTACACGTTAGTATTGTTCCCGAAGGGGAAGACCCTCGTGGAACTCTTATCTCCGGGAGAATATATCTTCGCGGCCAATTGCTTCGATTGCAACGGTCTAAAACTGGTGACTATTCTATAGATGTCGAATCATTACCAATTATATTTGATCATTTACCTCAACCACCGGTAGACCTTTATTTGATGAGCCTAGGGCGAACAAATGTAGGGCTAGTTCTACAGGTATTTGAACAAAGTAGCAAGGAATACAGTCGAGTAGGGGTAATTGCTCCTACGGAATGGGAATGGTTTAAAGATATCAAGTTCGAAAATATAACACTTGTCTGAATTTTCGAAAAGATGCCGTCCTTGATCAGCGGTTCTTTGGCAAGAAGTCCAAGACCATGGGCCTAGGTATTGATCGAATAGTGTGGGTCAACCTCATAGGAAGATCCAGCAAGTGAGGGGATTCAAGAGGATAAATCTTTGAAGCCACAGGAACAACCACATGAGTGGAATTTTGGTGTTATCAAGATGCCGAGTCTTCCTCGGTTTGAATTCTAAGAGCAGAGCAGAAAATGAATGAGAGGCACGCCAAATCACAGTACAATCACAACCTCCACAAAGAAAAAGAGCAAGTCGACGGAGAGGTATCTGCAAATCTAATATTCAAAGGATGAATCTTTCACCACGGCCCCATTATTAGGTCAGATCATCAGATGAAACTGCCCAAACTCGTGCCATAGCAAACAATCCATCGAATTCTGAGCTGTTGCTCTTTCGCACAGCTCATCTACATTACCTACTTTGCTTTCATATTCAAAATCCAAATCACTTGGTAACGGTCAACATCAATGGTCTACAGGAAGCAGGCAATTTTGCCATGTTAGAGATTTTTCGAAGGACTACGGGATATGAAGACAATAGGATGCAGTGGCAAGATGTAGTGTTTCGATATGAGCTAGTACTTAGGCTATGGAAGGACCCGTTAGAGGCTGAGATGTAGAATAGGGAGGAAAGATGAGAAGATGAGAAGATGAGAAGATGAGAAGATGAATAAATCCGACTTGGACCATTCCCTTTTTGTTACGTATTTGAAATGTAATGTGATGACTGGATGAATCCGGGTTGAATGAACCTTATGAAGTATTAACATTCGCAATCAATGTTCCTCTTTGGGATGGGATGCGATGTGATGGGATGAGATAAATAGATTTGTGTGATCTGATATTTTCCTGTATACTGAAAGACAAGTCCCCCTCGGGTTTTGAGAATATATACAACCCATTGAATTGAACACACCCGCAACCTACATATAGTATAGTGGACCGTGTATATATACATAAATATACATCACCTACCTATCTACAAAAGACATACGAATCTCCTCTTATCCTCTCCCTTTCCCCTCTCAAACATCGAGATCCCGTCGAAATCCAATCCAATCCATTCCCGACCGACCAATCTCCTATCATACAACGTTCTCCTACAGGCTACCGCCCCAGACCAATTTCCCTTATCTCTGTTGTTCCAAAATATACTCATTCCGTCTTATCCTTTCCCCTCCTCCCTCTCTATCCAGATTCCAGACTTTAATATCTCCCCAACACCTCTCTACTTTTCATATCCTCACCATCTACCTCCACTACCAATACCAACCACTCATTCACCCACTCACTCAGCCCCTCAATCTACGAATCACAATTTCCTACTATCTATCCTATTCTATCTATCCTATTCTATCTATCCTATTCTATCTATCCTATTCTATCTATCCTATTCTATCTATCCTATTCTATCTATCCTATTCTATCTATCCTATTCTATCTATCCTATTCTATCTATCCTATTCTATCTATCCTATTCTATCTATTCTATCTATTCTATTCTATCTATCCTATTCTATCTATCCCATCCCATCCCATCCTCTCCCATCCTCTCCCATCCTCTCCTCTCCAATTATCCCCCAAAAACAAAAACAAACCCAAAAACAGAAATTAAAAAAAGCGAACAAGAAAGATGACGCATCCTTACCAGGATCCGACGTGAACAAGTCGAACCCCCGGATTAGATCCCTCTTTTCTGTGCTTTGCTTTGCTTTGCTTTGCTTTGCTTTTTGTTTTGTTTTTCTCTCTGTATAAGTGATATGATATGATAATGTATAATGTATAATGTGTGTATGGAATGATAGGGTGTTGTTTGAGGGTTTGGGGGTTATATTGGATGGGATGAGTGGATGGTTGGGTTAATGGGGTTGGGAGATTTGGGGGGATGGGTGATAAATGATGGGTGATGGGGGATAGGGGGATTGAGTGAAGTATTTTTTTGGATGATAGAATGGGATTGGGATGGGATCGAATGGACTAACTAGCAATAGGGTTTGGTCAGGGGCATATCACATCGTGTTTTCGAAATATCCCTAACGGGTTTGAGGTTATTCTTTTTGTTGGAGCTTGAGTTCTTTCCGTCGGGCTTTGGGCGGTGCCCCTGGTCGGTCTTGCGCGTTTGCGTGTTGTACGCGTTCGTGTTGCGCGTTGACGTGTTGCGCGTTGCGTTTTCGCGGCTCGGCATGGCTGCTCTCTCCTGCTGCGTCCTGTCCCTGCCTCCCTCCTCGGTCCCTCCCCCCCGCCCGCCTCTCCCTGCCTCTCCTCTCTTCCCTTGCATTTTTTTCACACTCTCCTCTCCGAGCCCTGTGCTTTCTCCCTTCGTCCCTACTCACCATATACATACGAGTATACATCTCTGAAATAATTCTCCCATCACAAAATTTGAGTAACTTTTCAAGCAGATAGTTTTATTGATGCATACGAGTACCTAGGTATCTACGTAATATCGTAATATCCACCGGTGATCAGAAAATGTGGAAAAGATGGACGCTGTGCTGTACGACGTACAGACGAAATGCCAAGACGACAGGGAGAAGGGAAGATTTTTAGGTTTAAGTTTAAGGTTATTTTTTGGTGCTGGATGATGTGGTGATATGGCTTGTCATGTCATGTCATGTCATGTCATGTTTGTCTGTCTGTCTTATGAGAGTGAGGTGTGAGAATGAGAATGAGAATGAATCTGGGCGATTATGGAAATGGTAGTTATTGGTTATTTGGTGAGGTGGTCATTAGTCATGTTTGAAGGATGGCGAAGAAGAAGAAGAAAGATGTATATCTATCTGGGTATCTATCTATTTGATCAACGTATACATGTATGTATGTACCTACCTATGTATGCAATTCACTCTTTGGGAAAGGATCGGAGATCTCATCGAAAATGTATGGATGCCGGATGGATGTATTGAAGGAATCACGAAGATAATAAGCAAATAAGCATTCATTTGATCTCTCGTCTATTAACCCAACCTTCTTTCCTCCTAAACGATAGCGCGAGATGAGAGTCATAGGATGGATTCTACAAAGATATCAAACATATCGTAAATTTCCCATCTCGACATCCCATCTCCATCTGCATCTCCATATCTCATCCCCACGAGCAGAAGCATCTCTAAGCCGCAAGAAATTCCATCTCTCGTAGCCTAGCCTCGTGCTCTTCCTCAAACAAGGGCCCAAGTATCACGCTGACGCCAAGCATCGCAATGTGAGCTTATACACATGCCCATGCATCATGTACGATAGGTACCCTTTCGGACCAACAAATGCGATTCGTGCGCTCGGTACGATGGGTGTCGTGTCGAGGACGTCAGATGCAGATATGTTGCTGACAATTCTCCACCGCGACCCTGATTCTTGGGATTTGCAAATTGCGACGAGGGAGGCCAGTGAACGAATGAAGGGTGGAAGAGCGAGCGAATAACCGAATCGGTTTTAGGAGATGAGATGGGGTTTACGCTCTTTTGATGCTTGCTTGCTTGTGATTGTGAATTTGTGAGGGTCTCCATGGAATTATGAGTGGGGAGTTTGGGATTGCTTACTGAGCCTGAACGTTCGACTAGTTGTTTGTGTTGTAAGCTAGAGGTGGGTTTACATGTTGCCTTTTGCGTGGTGAGAGTATGAGACCGAGGAGATGATGTTTCTGAGGGTTGTATTGTGAGATTATGATTGTGGTTAGCGATGATGATGATAAACCGATGAGAGTGACGAGATGATCAAGCAACCCCAACATATCGAGCCATTAGCCCCATATCCCAATCCCGTATCTGAATCACAGCTAAGATAGTAAACCCATATGCCACGCTGCCGCAAAGCAACTTCTCGATTGCGCATCCATTGCGTATATATTGGCGGCTGAACACCCATCATTACTCAAACAAGAAGCACCAAAATCACTTCATTTCACGCCACACTGATCTGTGTAATCTTGGCACTCACACCACCCAACAAACAAGCAACAACAAACGGATCTCGACCGCCATCCAGAACCAAATAAGCTCATCGTCTCACTCACAGCCTTATCCCATTTCCTCCCCCCATTCCATTCCCTTCTCACCGGAACTGTTTCTCCCACTTCGTATACACGAATGCAACTACCCGAGCCCCCGTACCGTAACACCACTCACACACATACATACATCTCTGTCCGTCTCGTACGTACATGAAAATAAGAATTTAAGAGTAAGCTTAAGGTTCCCGGCTATCGCAAGATCTTTCCTATTCGAGTATCCATTACGACCTGAGCTAGGTACACGACCTAGTCGACAATCAAGCATCCATCATGCATCCTCAATGAAAGTTTGATGCGACACCGTCGCTCGTGCGGCCGGGGAACCGGACATCGGGTTCGGATTGTTTATACGAATTGGATGGAGTGATTTGTCCACCTGGGTACAGACCTAGGTAGTAGGTAGGTAGCATTCATCCTGTCCATCCTGTCCAAGAACCAACAGTTGCTACCTACCATCTACATACTATCTAGGTATCGTATCCTGCTCCTCACCGTCTCATTCATCAAATCTAGAACAGACTCCCCTCTCGCAATCCAAACTTTCCGGTTGCTTTACGGAGTACACTTATCTACCTATGAGTCTACCTACCTACCTATCTACCTACCTACCTATACCAGACATCGACCTATTTTTCCGTGTCTCGAGGGGAGATCTCGATGCATAAAGCGTGCCCAAATGAGATGGTGCGCGGCATCTTCGGAGAAAGGGTTTTTCACCGTTAACCTTATCGAATAACCAACAATTTACCAAGTTCTGGGTTGGGATCACCACGGAAAAAGCCAGTCGGTCTTTCATTCTTGCATTCTTGCATTCTTGCATTCCTCCATTCGGAGTACATGTCTACATACATCCAAACATACATAAGCTGCCCGACCGTCCCAAGCAAAAAAGAAAGGAAGAAAGGAAGAAAGGAAGAAAGGATTGGAATTTAATAATAATAATAATATAATAATAATCATTTAAAGTTTATTAGAGTTTACTAGCCCCTCCCCTTCATCCAAGTAAAATTAACCTTAAATCTTCTCATGTGCCACAGCGTGCCTTGGCATTTGCTTGGCCGTGGAAAGTTCTCATGTGAAATTGGGAGAGAAATTTATATTATTGTTCTCTTCGGATGTGGATGGAGGTATACGAAGCATGGAGAAGGAAATCAAAATATGCTTGGCGCATTCATAAGGGTTAATGTGATCAAAGAGGGTTTAATATTGGCAGAGGAGGCTGTCTCGCGACCTCGAGAAAAAGCCGGACACCAACCCCGCAAAAATAAAAGAGAATCTAGAAATAATCTTTTTCAAAATTCAATATAAATTTCTCTATATTTTATAATATTCTAAAAACTAAAGCTTTAGAATCTTTCTTTGATAAATTATTAATATATATAATTTCAATCAAAAAGTTAAATCTATTGTTTTGATATTAAATTTTGATTAAGGTATAGAATTTTGGTGGACGGCTTTTTCTCGAGGTCGCGAGGCTGTGTAGGACGGGCGTTGATTACTGAACGGTGATTTGTGATGATCGCATGGGAAGTCAGTTTTGGGGACGAGTTTGGTGTCATGCTATGGATGCTGTACGAGAGGTGGTTCTTGGGTTTGCTTGGTGCGGAGGCAAGATGGGTTGATGGGTGATGGAATGAGGAGATTCTAGATCTTGGACTGATTGCCACTGTGAAAGTTGGCTTGCTTGGTGAGCATAGCAGCATGTGTGTAGGTATGCATGGACGAAGGATACCGAGGGATGTACGATATACGAATGAATACAGAGAGATGTGTGTGTGCGCAAAACTAAGCATCAATCCATCCGTTCGTTCGCTATTTACCCTCATGGGCCTCATCTAATCACCACCACTGACACCAATATCCATATCCATATCCATGATACGAGCACATCATACATACCAACATCGCTCCCCAATCCCACCACTCCCAAAGCAGCCTAGAGCCCATCTCGTGCTAGTACTACTCACTGCAAAGGAAGATTCCGTTGCTTACCTCCCATCATCCATCATGATTCATCCATCCTCCCACCCAATCTCATTGGCTTTATGAATCATCATAGCCGACCCGGATCGACACCCTGAGCACTTTATTTCCCTTGACTAAAAAACATGCTTAAACTTTGACGGCTGGACACGTCCACTCACAATACGAAGAAGACGGCGCCAAGCGCAAACCAAGAAAAGTAAGAGAAGTAAGAAAACGCCTTTGATGGGGAGAGTGGAGAGGCTTGCGTGGAAGGTTTGGAATATGGATGGGGGGTGTGGATGGGCCCCTTCATTTTTTTTTCTTTGAATTTTGATCATAATTCCATGCTGGTTTTTTCTTTGGGGGGGAAGGGGGGGGAGGCCCGGGAGGGAGACTCGGGATTTGGGCGAGGGAGAGGGAGAGAAAATGGAAAAATGGAAATTGCGTGAGTGAGAGTGACATTCCAGAAAAAGAATTTTCGAAAAAAGAACCCGAACGGATGGATTGTATTGTTTAGACAGTTAATTAATGTCTAATATGTATGTATTGATAAAGAGAACGAGAAAATCTCATCGGTCTCCATACCCCAATTAGTAAGAAAATGTGTAGTAAGCATCATCTCCTCCAACCGTAGTGCACACGCTCGACACGTACTAAGCTTAAAAATTACCTCACCCGTAACCCGTTGCTCTTGAGCCTCAACTTAAATTCAATAGTGTGGTTACACAGTTGAAAACGGGTAGACACGAGTTCTCTCTCTCTCTCTGTTCATAAGATATCTAGCAATATCGCATTTACTTGGAGAGAAAGAAAGAAAGAAAGAAAGAAATCAATAGGTCAAATAAATCAATAAATCAATAGATAATTCAACCATCAATCAATCAATCAGATACCGTAAAAACTCGACAAACTGAGATCCTACTTAACCGCATTTAGCCTAGTATAAACGCCTCACCCCACAAACTAAATTAATTTGTAAGCAAGAAATATTTTCTTGAAAAACTTCAATAAATTATTATTAAATAAACAATCAATATTTTGCTTTCAAATTGAAGATCTGATTAATAGTTAATAATAGAAAGAAATCAAAATCATTTTTTTTTCTAATTTTCAATTTCAAAAAATAATTCACGTGCTTTAGACACGTGAATAATTAGAAAAAGTGGAAAAAATGTCGGATTTCAATAAGTCCGGCTGGGGAGATCGGCAATATGCTAGGCTAAATGCGGTTAAGTAGGATCTCAGTTTGTCGAGTTTTTACGGTACAACAAACAATCTAATACTCCAAACCCTAAAATCACAACGATTACCTCCGTAGGTACGATTACGTCTCTTTATACTTTTAGTTAGCTCATGCGTCAATCCATCCATCATCATCATCAT